CAATTGCAAAAAAAATTGCATCTCTACACCGTTAGTCATGTTATTTAACGTTTTTCCTACACAAAATTGATCAAATGCAAATCTGGTGGTGGAAAAAAGAAAAGTTTTCAAGATATAAAACTGGTTAACAGTCTTAAGATTAACCCAAGCCTTTTTCCTAAGTGAGAGCACTTAGGGAAAAAGATGCAAATTTTTTCATAACTTTGTCGCAAAAGTTAGAAATAAACATGGTCTTCAATCTTTTAAATCACAAAATGAGCCCACTCATTTTTAAACTTAAAAAAACAGGCTGCCGAAAATTGTATGACAATTTTATTTTAAAGACTTTAGTGTTATTGAAGATGATGAAACTTATATCAATTACAATTGCAAGCAAATTCTTGGTGCTATCTATTATATTGCCAAATGTAGAGGAAAAGCAGATAAAAAAATTTAAATACGTAAATCAAAATAAGTTTTCAAAAAAAAGTTTTGATTTCGCAAGCTATTTGCAGGAGTGGCAAAAAACCAGCACCTTATATTTCTGAGTCAACACATTTTCTGGTAAAGTATATGTTAAAGAATGTTTACAAAACATTTTTTATTTCTCATTAAATCACATAATAGCAAACATTTATTATTATAAACAATATTTTCGGAACAAATTTAGCTTAAAGTCATTATAGTAAATTGGCGATGGAATGTGGTAAACAAAATGACCTGAGAGTTGTGCCTAAAACAGCAAATCCTTCAAACTGCCCAAAATGAAAGTTATTGAAAAGTACTGGGCAGTTGTGGAACAAAAAAAAAAAGAAAATGAATAAACTATGCAGAAACGTTAAAGGTTTGAAAACAAACAGTTTTAATTATTATTCTGTGGTTAAAATAATGGTTAAAATTTGTTTCATTCAACTTTATTAGCTCAAAATTGTTTGTGATTTGTTTGTTAATGTTTTTAATGTTATGCTCTTAACAATTTAGCATTACTGGTCATTTATTTAAGTCTTTTCTTCTCTGATCTGTATTCGAGGAATATGTATATGAGGTTTTCTCTGATCTGTATTTGTAAACCATATGTAGACGGTGTTTGTTGCGCTAAAACTTATACCATTAAAAATTCAGTTTTTATGTTACAAATTTTAGACGCCAAAGTTATTTTTACATGAGCAATAGATAAAATGTATAATCAAAACTTATTTAAATTTTTTTGAAGTTTCTGAGATATTACTAAGTTTATATATTTGAACTGTACCTTAATTCTCAATATTTGTAAAACTTTATTTGTAAAGCAGACCAGATACTTAAAGATGACTAACAAAATCTTTTAACTGAGGCTAATAAGAGTTTGCACGCTATGAAAAGTTAATGGATTTCGTATAAATTTTGGTTTAAAGTAAAAACAGTATGTTATAATTCGAACAAATATATATGCACAACTGACTTTAAATTAATTTTAAATTTTAACTAAAATTTTAAAATGTAAACCAATCATTAAATAGATTATTATATTTCATTTTGTTTTTACTTAGTTAATACATTTATGAAAAAAAACAATAAACTATTTATGAAAACATTTTGAGTGTAAATTTGTCACTTTGCTCTTATATTTAATATGACGATGGTACTATTAAAGTGGAAAAAAAAAACATTAAAAAAAATTATCTAATACCAATTAACTTGATAAAATAAAAAACTGATTCGATTTATACATTTACGCAATAAATTTATTTCTTAACACATTTTATTAAAATAAATTAAAAAAAAATTAAAGCTGTTAAAAATGTATACTTTTATGTTAAAAAACAACCCTGACTGTATTTTAACGAGTGTCAAATAAAATTTGCACAACTGATTATTTAAGTAAGTATCATTTCACTCTTTCTCTTCTCCAAATACGCATTGTAAACGTAGTTAGACCCGCCCAATAAGCTAAGTTGTAAGCTTGAGCATCTTTTGCATGTGCATCTTTTTCTCTTTTCTGCAAATACTATCATGGTCGCTGCTCAAAGAAGCTATCATCTTTAGTTTCATAAACTAAAATTCATTCTCGCTTGTCTCGTCATTCAGCAAAATGTCATTCTTTTACTGTATCTGTCCCCCCATGCTGTAAAATCTTTTATTTGTCTAGTTTTTTTCCCCGCACCTTAACTCTTTGTAAAATTCTCCCATCTTTAAGTTTTCCTGATGTAAACAACCTTTAACTTTTTAAGTTCACATATCCTACCTTAAGAAAAAAATTTCAACCTTTTTTTTTTTTAAATTTTTTTGAATTCCGTAGAAGCATATTTTGTCTGAACATATAAGTGTGATCAAAGCTTTAAGTTCATTTTTCTTACCCAAGATTTTGTCTCGTTTCTAGTTGGTAAAAAATATCGGCATTTAGGAACCTATATACACGTCTAGTTTAAGTGTTATTTAGGCACCTATATACACGTCTAATTTATGTGTTGTTGATATATCTTTAATAACAAGAATTAGTGATAACAAGAGCTTTTAAAACGTTTTTTGATCTTATTTTGTTTTGATTGAAAATTGAGTTTTTGTTGCTCATTTTACATTACAGATTTAGCATAGGGTTTTGATGCTAAATCAACCCAATATTGAAATTTATCAATATTGTTTTTTTCCTGAATTAATTTTATGTGCCTCAACAGTTTAAAGTAAATTGATTGGTTTCAAAAATAATCTCGTTAAAACTCATGCTACTTAGTCTAAATTGGGTTTTAACTACTCAGTGTCTTTGCGGTAAGAACAACATTTTTTTGTTTATATATTGTTTTACATTAATGCTTGACATTATTAGGTGTTCGAGTCTAGTTATTTAAGTAAAAACGAGTCATTAGCAGATAGAAGAAAATTTCTTTTTTTTTTCCACATTATATCTTAATGGCTTCGTGAAAAAATATTTTGAGATTTTTCAGCACCATGCAAATTATAGTAAAAAAAATTTCATCCATTTGTCTATCAAGAATCTTTTCTGACTCTAATATTCTTCAATTATTTTTATAAACAGGTGAAATCCCAGCAAACAAAAAGATATCTAAAATAAATCTAAAAACTGGTCTAAAAGATGACTAAATTCAGGTCTAGAACGGGAAATAAATAGACGTCTATCTTATAAACGTCTTTTAGATGCATTTTGTTCGACACAAATAATTGCCTTAGATGCATAAAAGATGTGAAATATACATCTTACAGATGCATATTAGATGTCTAAGGCGCGTTTAAAAAAGATAGATAATAGATATTTTTTTAGCTAATAATAGCTTTTTTATGCATCTAATATACATCTAATATACATCTTTAAATGTATATTTCACATCTTTTATGCATCTAAGGCATTTATTTGTGTCGAATAAAACGCATCTAAAAAACATCTATAAGATAAACATCTATTTATGTCCCGTTCACGACGTGAATTTATTTTTTTAAACCAGTTCTTAGATGCATACTAGATGCATTATAGATATTTTTTTGTTTGCTGGGATTTGTTTGATACAAAGGTGTTACAGCGGTTAAATTAGTCCTAAAAAAGGATTAAATTAAATAAGTGAAGAAACATTTTAATTAACATTACTTAACTTTTATTTCACAAAAATATACATAAGAAACTATATTTTTGCATTGCCGTCAACATTTTTTGACTTCCACGTCGTTGATATCTAAAATATATACATTAATGACATGTATGTATATATATATATATATATATATATATATATATATACATATATATATATATATATATATATATATATATATATATATATATATATATATATATATATATATATATATATATATATATATATATATATATATATATAAATATATATATATATACACATACGGTAACGGACAAAACCAGTGCAACCATATGATGTTACTATAGTTTCTTTGTATAAAAGTGTTGCTTTTTTTTCAATTTAGAGAAATAACTATGTAACTGTTTAGAGACAACGTTCTTTAAATTTTATTCATCACAAAGTTCATTATTTGTACACGAAAATTATTAAATTAATCAAAAGTATTAAAAAAAGTTGATTTCCTTCTGGACAAAACAAGTGCAACTCCACAAAATGTTGACCAAGCTGTATTTTGCTATCAATATTTTGTGGTGAATCCTTTGTTGTTGATCACAGCTTTGCATCTTTAAAGCATAGACTCGATCAGGTGATCAATGAAACTTTGTGGAATCGCTGCCTAGGCCTTTTGAATTTGTTCAAACAGTTGATCCTTATTACGAACACATTCATGATCAACTCTGCGGTTGATGATCTCCCACAGGTTCTCGATAGGGTTGAGATTTGGAGATTGAGGCGGTTAATCTATCACCAATAGATGGTTGTCTTAAAACCACTGCTTGACTACTTTTGCAGTGTGTTTGGGATCGTTGTCTTGCTGAAAAACCCATTTTATTGGTATGTTCTATTCAGCATGAGGTAACATAACATCTTTCAGGATATTTTTATACATGAAACGGTTCATTATTCCATCGATTCGATGTATTGGACTTAGACCGTTAGCAGAAAAACACCCCCAGACCATTAAATTGCCTCCACCATGCTTCACAGTCTTATGGCAGTAACGTAAATTAAGACGTTTTCCGGCCGCTTGACGTACAGGCAGCTTTAATTGCTTTTGTATCTCAACTGATGATATCCAGGGATCCTTCTTGACAGATCTGACGATCATAGAATATATATATATATATATATATATATATATATATATATATATATATATATATATATACTATATATATATATATATATATATATATATATATATATATATATATATATATATATATATATATATATATATATATATATATATATATATATATATATATATATATATATATATATATATATATATATATATATATATATATATATATATATATATATATATATATTATATATATATATATAAACCAGAAGATTTGTATCTCAACCAGATACAATAATTAACAACAATTTTTTTATGAAAAAACTAAAGGAACTTGTATTATGGATACAAAAATTCTAGCATGACACAAAAAAGTCGAAGAATATCTTTTTAATACAGATATTAGTTTTGTAAATACTATTGAAACTATACCTCGTAAAACACTCCATATATTTACTAGATTTTCTAAGGTTATCTTTTCCCCATTTCCTTTTTGATTTAATTTGAACTGTAACTGATTCAAAAATAACCTGATAAATATTTCAACAATAAACTAAAATATATTTATAAAGATTTTTATTTAAATATTTGTAATAAATTAAAATATATTTTAATATATGAATGCTTAAAATTATGAAAAGTAAAAGCATTAAATTTGAAAATAAAATGCTAAACAAGGTTTAGCATTACACTTACTTTAGCACACAAACAAACTTAAACACCTACAGTGAAGCTCCCGAGTTTATCAAATTGTCATGTTAAAAGTAAATCCATAACAAATAACGGTCAAAATGAATTGCTTATGGTCCCTTGTAATCATATTTTTAATAATTAATCAAAACATAATCATTTACCTTTTCATGATCAAAACAACATGTTCTCTTGGCTTTCCACCACCAATCTTTTTCAAACTATCAAGCTGAAACAAATGTAATAAAAACTAGTGTAACTTAAATTTCTTTACAGCATATTGAGTCTAACACAAGCTAGTTATTTTAGTTCATTTACAAATACTTTTCATTCAGATTCTAAACTAATAAATCAAATTTAAACAAACTTATTAAAAATTAAGATAATTAGATTATACCAAATTAGTATACTTGGTTTTATCTACAAGAATAAAAAGATTGATTAACATATTTAGCTCATAAAACCAAATAGCAAAACAATGAAATAAGAACTTTAAAATTCAAATTATGCTTGAGTAACTCAAACTAAAATTCCAAAAATACATGTAAGTTTTTTTATTACTCTATCGCAGAAGTTGCCATAATATTTTAGAAAATCTACTTTTTAAATCAGCTAAAACTTTATCCTTTAAAAAGTCACGATATTAAAGAATTTTGTTTAACTACCAAAGGTAAAATGCTACAAACATGATTTATTGGATCACAATATTATAAATAATCCATTTCTATTCTTTTATACCTATCTTTTACAATTATTTTAATACAAAAACAAATTAATAAAAAAGACCTTTACATTAACATTCAGTGATGTAAAAACCAAAAATACCCATATTAAAACTTGAAAATCTTTGACAATGTGAACTTTGCTTGGTTTTATTCTGTTCATTAATAAAATGTGAAGAAAAATTATCTTCTTCAATCTTTGAATCTGATAACAACTCTATTCAAAAGAAATAATTATAATTAGAACAATAAATAATCCCTTAACCATACCTGTTACTTAATTTAATCTTTCAACCAATTTTGTACTCTTTCAATTTCTGAATTTAAACAGCATGCTTTCAATCAATTTTCAATTTTCATATCAAGTTGATTAAAGGATTATTTAATACAATAGAATGTTGTCGATCATATAAATATATGTAACCAATTTAACATTACATATAATAGGACACCCAAATAGTTAAAATAAAAGGAAAATCTCAGTAATTCATAAAAAAGACTAATAGCTAGATAGATATTATTCAGATTAAATTAAACAACAATCTATTTCAGTTTATAAACCATTAAAAAAAAATTATGATATTTGTGTTAAACTTTTAGCATTGGGCTTATTGATAATAGGTGGCGGAGGTTCTGGCAATGAAGAGCAGTATGATTTGCTATTCTTATTTTTAATGCTTTTCTTAACATATATCTCATCTGATGTAGAAAGTTGTATTCTTCACAACATGAAAATGAATCTAATTTCAAAATATTTTGCTACAAAAAAGTAATTATGTTACCTTAAAAAAAAAACACAAAACAAGTTAGATACTGACTATCTGATATCTTACACTTTATCAATGGAAATTTGTGCCATTCTTTTGTTGACGAAAGGTTGTTTTTTAGTGCATGATTATAGTTTTTTTTTGGGACAATAAATTTGTTGCTATTCTTTGTCCATCCACTTGTTTAGTGCATAAATACTTGGTTAGAAAAACATGCAGAAAAACTTTCCTTTAAAGTTGGGTTATGCTTATACTCATTAGGCTTTTGGTCATAAGAGTATTCATTGTACAAAATCGATGACTAATTATGGTCAAAATATTCTTTTAGATTTTCGCAAGATAAGAAATCATTTCTTTTAGAAGTTCCAACATTCAATTTTTTTTCTCTATGTACTGATGAAAATTCTTTTTGGACACGTCTACTGCGTCACTTTTGGTATGCCATTTTTGTAAAAGATATCAATGAATCTTGGTTCCTCGATAAAAACGATAAGTGCACATCCAATAAAACAATCTTTTGTGTTATTGAAAAACACTATATATTTATATATATATATATATATATATATATATATATATATATATATATATATATATATATATATATATATATATATATATATATATCTTTTGTTATAAAGTTAGATATAAAATAAAAGATATATATATATATATATCTTTTGTTTTATATCTTTTGTTCTAGAAATAAAAATCAACTTGAAAATATTAATTTTGTAATATTTCTGCAAAATAAATTTCAAATCACAAGGATTTTAGCAAACATGCTAAGCATCAAATCATCGAAATATTTTGTGAACTATAATAGCATGTTATTTTATTATTTAAAATTTATCAAAAGAAATAATCATTGATGTCTTCCATAGGTTAAAATTTTCATGCTTTTTTTGAAATAAGTTTCGGCAGGGTTTTTTAATGGCGGTCATTTATAATTATAGCTCCGTAAAATTAATTAAAATTTTTTTCTTGTTTTTATAACAAATCTATAAAAGACATCTTATAGACATCTTAGTTTAGATGAAAAAAAAAATTATCTATGCACGATCTATTTTATGCATCTAATATGCATCTTAAACAGAGCAAAAATAGTATCTCTAGTATCAGACGTCTTTTCAATCTCTAATATACGTCTAAAATATACGTATCGGCAATAGATACAAATTAGACCAATTTTAGACGGTCTAAAAGACGTCTATTGTTTGCTGGGATGGAGCTACCAGCAGTGGTTTTATACAAACCATTTACTTTGACATGATAAAGAACTTAGTTTACCGTTTATATAAACGTGGTTTTAAACTTTGATTTTCTTTTTTTTTCTCAGTAAAGATAAAGCAAAATATTAAATACTCAAAGATCTAATAAAACATCTATTAGTTAAAAATAGTAATAATTAACTCATATTTTAGCAAGAGATTAAATTTCATTGACAATATTTATTTGACTTATTTATTTGAAGTTATGTTTAATTATATATATTTAAATATATATTTAAATATATATTAAAAATATATATAATAAATATATATTTATTTGAAGTTATGTTTAATAGATTCACTAAATTGATATGTATTATAAATTTGTTTTAAACAAGTTTAAAGCTTATAAAAAAAAAAGTATAAAAGCGCATTTATTTTTCATAAAACGTTAGTATTGTTTATTAAATATAACATTATCAAAGTAAGATAACAAACATACAATTTCAATATTGTCATTTTTAAAGCACAACTTAACAATTTAGAAGAAGAATAACAATAGCTACGACCTTTTTCTCATTAGATAACAGTTCAAAATGAAGTGTTTTTATTTGCTTTCAACACTGGATGTTATCTCGAGCATATGTGCATCCAGAACAGAAACTATCAAAGACTGTCAAGCTGTGTGCAAACATGTACATGGATGTTTAGGGTTCAATTAAGTTTCATATAAAAAACTTTGCTTCTTAAAGGTATATTCTTTCAACGTAAATTAAATTTAGCACCATTTATTATATACTCTATTTAAAAATACTTAACTCACAAATATGTAAAAGATATTATAATCACTTTTTTTGCAGCTGTTGTTGTTCTAATGATCATAACATATATATATATATATATATATATATATATATATATATATATATATATATATATATATATATATATATATATATATATATATATATATATATATATATATATATATATATATATATATATATATATAAATATATATATATATATATATATATATATATATATATATATATATATATATATATATATATATATATATATAGTATATATATATATATATATATATATATATATATATATATATATATATATATATATATATATATATATAGCTTTTTAAAAAGTTTACAAAATTATTACAAGACATAATCAAATATTTTATAATTTTGTTTCTTTTTACTTTCATTACATAATAATAATGTCATTTTCATTACAAAATATCATGTCATTAAATTTAAAAATATTATATAAATTTTGTTGTTAATTGTTTTGTTGTAATAAAACATTTATTATCATCAATAAAAAAAGTAATAAAATGATATAATAATGTCTAAATAACATTACCATGTTAAGTTCTATAACTAAATAAAATTATATTTAGTTATCTTTTACTTTTACACAACTTTTTGTAAGTAGCTAACGGAGAATTTACAATAATTAGTAGATAGTTAGGCATTTAAAATATGTCTATTAAACTAATAGCTAATTGTTAAAACAATATGTTCTTTATAAATACATATTGATATGAGATTGCTTGTGTTCAAGTGTACTTTTCTTGTTAGGAGCATTAAGATTATTTAAGATTTCTTGTATTAAGTGTTTAGACAGAGATTCCTCATTCTATTTTTATATGGATAACAAAATTAATTGCTGCTTTGTAAATAATTATGGAGCTTGTTATAAACAATCATATACTCAAGAAAGAAATCTGATTGAAGATATTTACAGCAATGATCGTAAGCTACTTAAAAAACGAACAAATCTGAAACAAGAACAAATTACTAATATTTGCACACACCATCATGATATGTTAGTTGTAAGATATGAGGGTAATCAGAAAAGTTGCTGTTATCCATTTCTGAGTCACCAAAAGGTGTGAAGAGGTAAAGATTTATATATTTATATTTCATTAGGTTATATCATTATTAATAAGTCATATAAGTTGTTTTGATAATAAGATTTGTTCAATTTTTCATAGTTATTAATATAACAAATTGTATAGTAATATAATTACATAATATATATATAATTAATGTTATTTAAGTAATTTAATTACTTTCTTTTTAGGCATCTCTACGTGTGATTACAATGCATACTGTGTTAGAAGCAGAAACCATAGGTTGAAATCTTATACCTGGAAAAAAAAATTGTGTCCAACCTGTCGAAGTAAAGTAATGACATGTTTTTAAAAAAGTATAAGTGAAAATAAAAATGATGAAGATTTTATTTAATTCATTTTTCGAAAAAATAAATCATTTATACCCAACAAGATTTTCAAACAACAATTATATTCAACCAAAAAAAAATTATTTTGCAACTAGGTTCTCGATAGCAATCAGAGGACCTAAATTATGGAACACCCTATTGGATAATGAGTTTAAAAAAATTTCTTCCCTTGATCAATTTAAAAAAAAAAAAAACGTAAACTTTTGATAATTGACAATGAACTTGACTTTTAAATAGGAGTATTCACTTGTTTTTTATTTGATATTTAATTCATTTTTAACATATTAATTGTTGAATTTAATTTGAATCTTTACCTTCTTAAATTATCATGTTTTATCTCATTTTTATTTACTATTAAAATTTGAAATCCTAATAAAAAAAAAAAAACTAAAAAAAATATTAAATTTTAATGAAAAATATTTAGATATTTGTACTTATATATGTACCT